AGGATTAAGAGGTGGGAGGTGAGAGAGACAACACCTTGTTTGTGTTGGGGACAAAGAACATGACCCTGGGACATACATTTCAAAGCCCTGCTCCCAAAAGATGTGGAAAAAGAAGTTATACCTAGAGTGTATGCTATGGAAGTGTTTGTTGGTCAACTACCACAGTAGCAGGAAGTGTGTTCTGAAGAGTTGAAAAACAGGGGCCCAAGGTAGAAAGGAGGGAGGCTCAGAGTTGGAAAGGGCAGAGAGAGACTCATCCTTCCCCCAAGAGATGCTAAAAGCTATTGGGTGTGGGCATTTAACATCAGCATCTGCTTCTGCCCCTTTAAAAAATAACTCTGTAAAGGTCTAATTGACATACAGTAAAATATATATATTTAAAATATAGTATTCTAATAAGTTTTGAAATATATGTATACCTGTAAAACCATCAGCCCCCAAAAAGTATCCTCATATTTTGTAACCTCTTTCTCCTGACCCTACCTGCCACCCCCACTGTAGTTCCAGACAATCACTAATCTATTTTCTGTTACTACAGTTAGTTTGCATTTTCTAGAATTTTCTATAAAAGGAATCATATAATATGTTCACTGTTCGGTCTTTTTTTCCACTTGACATAATTATTCTGAGATTCATACAACTTTTTGCATACATCAGTGGTTCATTTTTTAAATTGATGAATACTATTCCATTGCATGTCATATTACAATTTGTTTATCCATTCAGTGGTTGATATTTGATTTGTTTCCAGTTCTTATTTGTTACAAATAAGGTTGTTGTGAACATTTGTGTACAAGTCTTTGTGTGGACATATGCTTTCATTCCTCTTGCGTAAATTCCCAGGGCAGTATAAATAATAGAGCTGTAGGTTTTATTTTTAAAGAAACTCTCAGACTATTTTCCAAAGTGGTTGCATAAGGACCACTGCTACTAACACCTGGTATGAGAAGTCTTTAATTTTAACCATTCTACTTGGGGTGTTTGTTTCCTATTGTGGTTTTAATTCCCATTTATCTGATGATTAACGCTGACTAAATTTTGATATTCTTATTTATGATCTGTGTATCTTTGGCAACAAAGTTTCTGTTCAAACTTCTGGTCTAGTTTTATTGGTGTTTAGTTTTACTTTTTTGTTTATTTTCTCGTTATTGATTTTTGAGGATTATTTGTATATTCTGGATACAAATCCTTATAGAAGTGTATAATTTTTAATATTTTCTTCCTGTCTGTGGCTTATCTTTTTATTCTCTCTCCAGATCTCCCTGTGCTCCATTCTACAAACTGTAGCAGACTTGTTAACCTCAGAATCTCAGCTCCAGAAATCCACCATGCTCAGTCTTGAGTTTTCCTCTGTACCGTGGCTGGGAAATTCTTTTAAAGCAATAAGCCAGGCAATTGTAGGGACCATCTCAATTGTTTTCCATTTCTCAGGGGTTACTGTCCTTCTTTGCCTGATGTCCAGTATCTTGAAAATTATTGTATCATATATTTTATCAATGTTTTAGATTTTTCAGGCAGAAGGATAAATCTGGGCCCTGCTATTTCACATTAGCCAAAATCTGAAGCTTGATTGTGGCGTCTGTTACTTCTGGGATTATGCTGGAGGCAGCCTTTTGGCAACTGTCCTTCCCCCCATTATTAACAAATGGGAACCATTTTTAAAAAGAGTCAGTAAAGCCTGTCTATATGGCAGCTGAAACTGAAAAGTGATGCACTTATTGCACTATACAACATAGTTGCCTGTATAACAGAGGATTGCCTGTAAAAGTGATTTACTTCTTGCACTGTGTAGTTTGCTATATAGAAAAACAGTAGCTGGTGAATTAATCAGTTATAGTCTGGAAGTGTGGGGAGGAGAAGGATATGAGATACCAAATAGAAGAAGCTTTTCTTTGTTCAGGATTTTGATGATTTATAAACTAATCAATTTTATTAGAAATCATGGAAATTTTTGTGTATGGACAATAGGTAGCTATAGGAAACAATAATAGCATCCATATAAGGGGAATGAAGGAGTCTCAGACTAAAAGATAAGTTTAATTACAAGAGTCACTAACAGTTGAAGATATCAAGCCCAAGAAAAATAGATACCACACTAAAAAATAGGATATTACTTTTCAATGAGCAGAATTAGCTTAACAAAAATAAGACTTAAAATGTAGTTATATCCTTGGAATGACTAAAAGTGAATTAATCATTCACAAATAATAACTCAATAAAATCTTAAAAATAATATGATTCTTAAATACAAATGAGTTCAGTAGATAACAAAAACCAGAATATTGTGAGTATAATTGTTATAAGAAATGAATTATGATTTTGGATTATTAAGCCAAAAAATGATCAAATGGGGCAAATATAAAAGAAAGAAATAGGGCAGCCCAGGTGGCTCAGCGGTTTAGCGCTGCCTTCAGCCCAGGGCCTGATCCTGGAGATCTGGGATCCAGTCCCGCGTCAGGCTCCCTGCATGGAACCTGCTTCTCCCTCTGTCTGTGTCTCTGACTCTGTGTGTGTGTGTGTGTGTGTGTCTCTCATGAATAAAGAAAATCTTAAAAAAAAAGAAAGAATGTGAAAAGAAAGTTATTAAACATAGAAGATAGATTTAGGGTCTCTGTGTCCATGTGGTAAGAATTTATACAAAAGAGAGATAATGGGGAGGTTGGGATATTCAAATAAATAGTTAAGGGCATGAGAAAACAGCATGGAGGTTTATACTATGGATAATTAAGAGATAATTAAAATAAAAGGTTAAGGAATAAAAGACACACTCCTACATGTATTTAGGTGAAAGTTCAGATCAGGAAAAAATTGAAAGCTTCCAGAAATTTAGGAAAAGGAAAAAAAAAAGGACATGCATTCATTCTATATAGTGAGCAAAAAAAGCAGTATCATCAAACATTTTGAAGTACTTCAAACAACACACATATGTGTGTATAGCTAAAGTTTAAATACTCCCAGGCCCTTTTGTCCTACTCAGGTCCAGAATGTTTGCACCAAAGTTTATAGGTCTGCAGACAAGGCACTGGAAGGATTTTCCACTAGGAATCTAACCTGCCCAAAATAAAATATATCAGGTTACTAAAAACATGGTTTCCCACCAAAATGACCTAACCAGATGACACTACAGTGAAACCCATCAGGAAAGAATCCCATTGACTGGCAGAGTTTCCTATCATTACAGTGTTTCCAAATTAAATCACTTTTTCTGATTGGAGAGTGCTGGAGAGGGGGCTTTCTGGCACTGATTGTTACATTTGAAAACTGGTTTGGAGAGTTTGAAGTACATTACCTCTCAATCCACAGATAGCTGAAAAGGCATAGGGAGTGTTCTTTGGTAATTTTTCCATTTCTTCTATGGTATTTGTACATCGAAGAGTTTTTCTCTTCCAAGGTTAATTAATAATATGGTGATATTATGCAAAGTTTCAAGCATATATACGAATAGAATAATAAAGCAAATCCCCACTTACTTACCATCCATATTCATCAATTAGCAAATTTTTCACACTTCTTTCATATATTCTTTTATACATGGTAGTTCTGAAAACATCAGAATTGTGTTTAAAAGAAGCACAGATATTATATGACTTTGACTATTTAAAGATCTCTTTCTTTTCAGTTAAATGCATGCTCCAAGGATATGTATCAAAAATAGCTGTAAAATGCAATGAAACGCTGGGGCACCTGCACCCCGATGTTTCTAGCAGCCATGTCCACAATAGCCAAACTGTGGAAGGAGCCTCGGTGCCCATCGAAAGATGAATGGATAAAGAAGATGTGGTTTATGTATACAATGGAATATTACTCAGCCATTAGAAACAACAAATACCCACCATTTGCTTCAACGTGGATGGAACTGGAGGGTATTATGCTGAGTGAAGTAAGTCAATCGGAGAAGGACAAACAGTGTATGTTCTCACTCATTTGGGGAATATGAATAATAGTGAAGGGGAATATAAGGGAAGGGAGAAGAAATGTGTGGGAGATATCAGAAAGGGACACAGAACATAAAGACTCCTAACTCTGGGAAACGAACTAGGGGTGGTGGAAGGGGAGGAGGGCGGGGGGTGGGGGTGAATGGGTGACGGGCACGGAGGGGGACACTTGACGGGATGAGCACTGGGTGTTATTCTGTATGTTGGTAAATTGAACACCAATAAAAATTAATTTATAAAAAAAAAATAGCTGTAAAATTTTCATGCATTTAATATGAAATCCAAAATTCATAGCATTCAGCCTTTCCTACCCATACTCTATTTTCTTTTCATGGGGTTCTCCCTCAAAGGAAAGTAATTTTTGGATACTGGTCGGGGGATGGAAGAAGTAATGTCATTAAATCATCATTCCTTTCACCCTTTATTTATCATGTATTTGATTTTAGAGCATTCTGACATTAGCTACTGTCCCTTTTTAACACCTCCACTATTACTGTAAATATGCTTAAGACAGGAAAGGGTTTGGGGTGGCTTAACTAATAATACAGGAGGCTTCCACTTTGGAGGTTTTCTCTGTCTCTGAGATAATGCATCATAGGAAGTAGTGGGAGGATGAAAGGGAGAAAATTTGTTGTAAAGTGGAAGGAAGATAGGTTCTCAGGAAGATCAGTTTTAGGAAAAAGCCAGGAATGTTGAAGAGCTAGAAATTGATTCCTTTAGATTATTTCTGCTCCTATAGCCCTTAGGATGATTTCATGTGCTCACATTGGTATCCACATTTGAAGAAAACTACTCTCTCTAAGGCAAAGATAGAACAATGGAAATTAGCATAGCGTAAGTATATTCTTGCTCTTCTTGGGTCAGTATTTATGGGACACAAAATCTGGAGCTCTGAATTGGAAGCTGGAAGATCAGGCCCTACCTCTTCCTCAGAGAGTGGATCTTCAACCAAACACTGTTCTGGAGATTGCATTTCCACCCATGAAATAAAAGTGCTTGAGTCTCTTCCAGCTGAATGCTCAGTGGCTCTGGGTTGATTGGTAGCATGCAGGTCAAGATTGGGAGATGGACCTTGAAGGTTAGAGAAAGATTCCAGCCTTTGGTAGGAATCATTGTCAATGATCAAGAATGGCATGTATGGGGCAGCCGGAGTGGCTCAGCAGTTCAGCGCCACCTTCAGCCCAGGGCCTGATCCTGGAGACCCGGGATCGAGTCCCGCGTCAGGTTCCCTGCATAGAGCCTTCTTCTCCCTTTGCCTGTGTCTCTGCCTCTCTCTCTCTCTCTCTCTCATGGAATTAATAGAATCTTAAAAAAAAAAAGAATGGCATATATGTATCCAACCACAGGCTCAAAAGCAAAGGGATGTGAAGATTATAGGTCAGTTTCTGTTATTTAAGCTTTGGTCCAATCCACTAATGTGAGTAATTGAAATGAGATAATAATGACTAATATTTGTGCCTTGGGTATATTATTTAATATTTATCCAATAATTCTAAAAAAAGTAAGTCGATTCGTTTCATTTTACAGATTTGAAAACAGATTAGAGAGGAATGAAGTATGTTGCTCAAGGTCACAGAGTAACTAAAGGAAAGAATTAGTACTCAAACTCAGGGGTATACCTTACTCTAAAAAAACTACATTACAACTATTGCTTCAAGTATTTTGTGTCGTGAGCATGGTTACATGAATTTGAATAGGTCCTTGCTTTTTATTAAATTCCTTTAAGTGACCTTTCAGCTTTATAATCTATGCTTTATATTTTAACCCAATGGCATTATAAATAAGGTCCAGAAAAGGTGCCTGCAGTAAGCTCCGGGAAGGAAAATAAATGGAAATAACTTTGGGAAGTCGCCCACACACAAAACACAGACTAAAGAGAAGAGTTAGAATAAATAGAAGGATGGTAATGTACCAAATCATTATGTCTTTTTCTCTTTTGTAAGAGACAATACAAACAGCCTGTATTTGACAATCTTGCACCTAACTTTAAGCATTCAGAAACAGATTTCTTATTTTACCGTTTCCATGACAACACATGGCATTTCACATATGTTTTTTAAGGAAGAAAAGGTGAAAATTACTCTCAGTGTTAAATTGAATTTTTCTCCTTCTTTATTCACCTACTTTATTCATAGAGACTTAGAAAGTACAACAATTTAATGTTCCTTTCAAAATTTCAGTGCCATTTTTCTACATTAGATGCAGAATTAAATGAATTCAACTTCAGCTCCATTTTCTAAGTCAAGTATTTTGATAGAGAGAAAGTTTCATTAAGGTTGCTTTATTCCACAAGTAAAATTAGTTTCAATAGGGAGGGCAGCCTGCGATTGAGTCCCATGTCGGGCTCCCTGCATGGAGCCTGCTTCTCCCTCTGCCTGTGTTCCTGCCTGTGTTCTCTCTCTCTCTCTCTCTCTGTCTCTCATGAATAAATAAATAACATCTTTTTTAAAAATAGGGATAGTTCCACACAATTATATTCATTTTGTGTAACTTTTAAATTTGTAATCTGTCAATATTTTAGACTGTCACCATTGCTAAATTTGGGTATGGCCCTCCATTTGCTTTACCCAGAGCTTTTCTTCCATTATGTTTACTAGTAGATGATTAAATGAGGAGTCAATAAATATTTGGGAAAGAATGAACAATTAGATATAGAAACACTTTTGAAGTAATTTTTATTTGGAAAGCAAAAAGATTCTTTTAGAGTGAAGTATTGTGAGGGCTAAAGAATATTTCATTTTGGGATTAAAAAACCATGATATTTATTAAGCATTAACAGTGGTATTAGGGGGGCGGGGCAAGACGATGGAAGAGTAGGGTCCCCAAGTCACTTGTCCCCACCAACTTACCTAGATAACTTATAAATCATCCTGAAAACCTACCAATTCGGCCTGAGATTTAAAGAGAGAACAGCTGGAATGCTACAGTGAGGAGTTCACGCTTCTATCAAGGTAAGAAGAGGGGAAAAAATAAATAAATAAAAAAGCACCAAAGGGGAGGGGCCCCCCAGGAGCAGGGCTAAGGCACAGCGGCGAGTGCCCCCAGGACAGGAGAGCCCAGGCCCGGAGAAGCAGGAGCTTTACCAACCTTCCCTGGCGGAAAGGCGCTTGCAGGGACTCAGGCAGGATCCCAGGAAGGGCAGGGTAGCCCCCAGGTTCCCGGGTCACTAACAGAGGACCTGCGCCCCAGGGGAGAGCGCCGGACACCTCGGGACAAGCTCCCTAAAGGGCTGGAGCGCGTGCCCGGCGCCACGGGGAGCAGCTCGGGCGGCGGCTCAGGCGGCGGCTCCGCGCGTACGGGGCTGCGCGGCTCTGTGGTCCCAGAGCGCGATCCCAGTGGCACAGGCCCCGGATCCCAGGACGTTGGCGGACACAGCCCGGGATCCTGCGATCCCTCCGGGACAGGCGGAGGCCGGGAGCGCCCAGGCAGCGAGAAGGCTCCTGCGGCTGGGCGCCCCCAAGCTGTGCAGGTCGGCGACCCCCATCCCCAGAGCATCCAGGCCCGTGCGGACTGGGAGCTGCGGGAGTTACTGGGGGAGCTGACTCCAGGGCTGGGGAGCTGGCCGCCACCAGTGTGGTGGTTCCTCCGCGTGTCACCCTGTGCCTGGGACGGAGGGTGGCCACCAGGGAACAGGGGCCTCACGGGGTCAACAGCACACACTGAGCCGGGCACCCAGCGGGGGGCAGGGCAGCTCCCCCAGGTGCACACACCTGAGAGTCAGCACAGCAGGCCCCTCCCCAGAAGACCAGCTGCAGGGACAGGGGAAGAGCAAGTTCTTGACCACCCAGCGCTGGAAAGGGGAAGTCGAGGGATTTACAGTATATAGAAACAGACGGTACCCCTCCTTGTTTTTTTGTTTGTTTCCCCCCTTTTTTCCTCTCTTTTTCCTTCCTTTTTCCAGCACCACTTGTTTTTAGCCACTCTGCAGTGAGCAAAATGACTAGAAGGAAGAACTCACCACAAAAGATCCAGAAACAGTCCTCTCTCCCGCAGAGTAGCAGTTTGGATTGCAGGGGCCGGGCGGGCAGGGCGCTCCGACAGGCGCTGCAGCTAGTGGCCTGCGGCCTGGCCGGGCTCGGCCGCGGTGCTCTTCTCCGCCGTGGCGCTGGGGAAGCCCCGCGCGGGCGGGGACGCGGAGCCGCGCGTGGCTTGGGCGCCGGCGTGGGCGGGGACCGCGCATCCCGGACCCGGCGTCTGCGACTCCACCTGGGACAGGCGAGAACCACTATCCTTAGTCAACCTTTGGAAGAGGAACCTAGACTCTGGAGAAGAAGAACTGGCGTCCAGGCCGGACCACTGCAAAGCAAAGGCCACACGACACATCTTCCTCATCAGGCACTCCCAGTACCACGTGGATGCCTCCCTGGAAAAGCACCGCTCTCTAACACCCCTGGGTCGTGAACAGGCTGAACTAACTGTGCTCCAACTTGCAAGCTTGGGGTTGAAGTTTAATGAAATTGTCCATTCGTCCATGACCCGAGCCATAGAAACCACTGACATCATCAACAAGCACCTGCCAGGTGTCTGCAAGGTCAGCACAGACCTGCTGAGGGAGGGCGCCCCCATTGAGCCCGACCCTCCTGTGTCCCACTGGAAGCCAGAGGCTGTGTATTATGAAGACGGAGCCCGGATCGAGGCCGCCTTCTGGAACTACATCCATCCTGCAGATGTCAAGCAGCAGGAGGACAGTTACGAGATCTTCACCTGCCATGCCAATGTCATCTGCTACATCGTGTGCCGGGCACTGCAGTTCCCTCCTGAAGGCTGGCTCCGCTTGTCTCTCAACAATGGCAGCATAACCCACCTGGTGGCATGGCCAGATGGCCGAGGGGCGCTCAAGACCCTCGGTGACACAGGGTTCATGCCTCCAGACAAGATATCGTGCTCCTGAGAGCTGCTTGGAGGACCTGCTCTCCTCTAGCCCCTGTGGCTCCAATGGGTGTCACCCAGGGCGTGGTTCCTCCCCCATCTTCCCTCCACAGACTGCATTGTGGTTTCATTGCACTCTTCCTGGAGAGTGAGAAAGTACAAGTATCTCAAGTATCTAAAATGTGGCATTTGGGTCCATATTTGGCAGCCCAGGATAGAAAAGGGAATTGTTCTGAGCAGAGCAGCCTGACTTCCCTCTTGGGGTTTCCTGCCCTGTCTACCAGGACTGTCTCACCGATGCCGTCCACACGGGTCAGACCACACGGGTGACTTCAGTCACTCCCACAGCTGGCCACATGGGCCCTTCCCGGCTCCTTGGCACAGCCCATCCCAGCACTCAACTCCGAGGAGGGCCGGAGGGCCGCCAGTACTTCCATTCAGAACTTCTCATCCTACATTCTTTAAGAGCATTTTACCACTTAAATATTTGTCAACTAAGGACTCTCATCTGGTTTCCTGCTTTGATAACCAGTTTCTCAGTCTGTAGTCCTGCCTGACACCATTGTGTCTGAACTCAATCAACCACATTGCTGGATCGGGACCCAGCCACACTGGGCACGTGGGGGAGGTGGTTGGATGCTGATGGGACAGCAGGGCATCATGTTTCAATAAAATACTCAACAGCTCAATGTCAGAAAGCCAATACAGAAGCACAATTATAAAGCTACTGGTGGTTTTGGAAAAAAGCATAATGGATTCAAGAGACTTCATGACTGCAGAATTTAGATCTAATCAGGCCGAAATTAAAAATCAATTAAATGAGATGCAATCCAAACTGAAGGTCCTAACAACAGGGTTAATGAGGTAGAAGAACGAGTGAGTGACATAGAAGACAAGTTGATGCAAGGAAGGAAGCTGAGGAAAAAAGAGAAAAACAATTAAAAGATCATGAGGAAAGGTTAAGGGAAATAAATGACAGCCTCAGAAGGAAAAAACTACATTTAATTGGGGTTCCAGAGGGCACCAAAAGGGACAGAGGACCAGAAAGTATATTTGAACAAATCATAGCTGAGAACTTCCCCTGACTTGGGGAGGGCAACAGGCTTTCAGATCCAGGAGATAGAGATGCCCCCCGCCTAAAATCAATACAAGCCGTTCAACACCTCAACGTTTAATAGTGAAACTTGCAAATTCCAAAGATAAAGAGAAGATCCTTAAAGCGGCAAGAGACAAGAAATCCCTAACCTTTGTGGGGGAGAACTATTAGATTAACAGCAGACCTCTCCACAGAGACCTGGCAGGCCAGAAAGGACTGGCAGGATATATTCAGGGTCCTAAATAAGAAGAACATGAGCCAAGAATACTTTATCCAGCAAGGCTCTCATTCAGAACAGAAGGAGAGATAAAGAGCTTCCAAGGTAGGCAGAAACTGAAAGAATATATGACCGCCAAACAAGCTCTGCAAGAAATATTAAGGGGGACTCTAAAAGAAAGAGGAAGTACAAGGAAACAATCCACAAAAACAGGGACTGAATAGGTAACATGATGACACTAAATTCATATCTTTCAATAGTAACTCTGAATGAGAATGGGCTTACTGATCCCATCAAAAAACACAGGGTTGCAGACTGAATAAAAAAACAAGACCCATCTATTTGCTCTACAAGAGATTCATTTTAGACCTAAGGACACCTGCAGCATGAAAATAAAAGGTTGAAGAACCATTTACCATTCAAATGGTCCTCAAAAGAAAGCAGAGGCAGCCATCCTCATATCAGCTAAATTAAAAGTTTATCCCAAAGACTATAGTAAGAGATGAAGAGGGACACTATATCATACTTAAAGGATCTATCCACAAGAGGACCTAACAATCATTAATATTTATGCCCCTCATGTGGGAGCTGCCAAGTATATCCATCAATTAATAACCAAAGTTAAGACACACTTAGATAATAATACACTCATACTGGGAGACTTGAACATGGCACTTTCTGTAATTGACAGATCTTCTAAGCACAACATCTCCAAAGAAACAAGAGCTTTAAATGATACACTGGACCAGATGGATTTCACAGATATTTACAGAACTTTACATCCAAATGCAACTGAATACACATTCTTCTCAAGTGCACATGGAATTTTCTCCAGAAAAGACCACATACTGGGTCTCAAATCAAGTCTTAACTGATACCAAAAGATTGGGATTGTCCCCTGCATATTTTCAGACAATAATGCTTTGAAACTAGAACTAAATCACAAGAAGAAATTTGGAAGAAATTCAAATGCGTGGAGGTTAAGGACCATCCTGCTAAAAGATGAAAGGGTCAACCAGGAATTTAGAGAAGCATTAAAAAGATTCATGGAAACTAATGAGAATGAAGATACAACTGTTCAAAATTTGGAATACAGCAAAAGCGGTCCTGAGGGGAAAATACATTGCAATACAAGCATCCATCCAAAAACTGGAAAGAACTGAAATACACAAGCTAACCTTGCACCTAAAAGAGCTGGATAAGGAACAGCAAATAAATCCTACATCCAGCAGTAGAAGAGAGTTAATAAACATTCGAGCAGAACTCAATGAATTAGAGACCAGAAGAACTGTGGAACAGATCAACAAAACCAGGAGTTGGATCTTTGAAAGAATTAATAAAATAGATAAACCATTAGCCAGCCTTATTAAAAAGAAGAGAGAAAAGACTCAAATTAATAAAATCACGAATGTAAAAGGAGAGAATCACCACCAATACCAAGGAAATACAAACAATTTTAAAACTTATTATGAGCATCTATACGCCAATAAATTAGTCATTCTAGAAGAAATGGACGCATTTCTGGAAAACCACAAATTACCAAAACTGGAACAGGAAGAAATAGAAAACCTGAACAGGCCAATAACTAGGGAGGAAATTGAAACAGTCATCAAAACCCTCTCAAGACACAAAAGCCCTGGGCCAGATGACTTCCCAGGGGAATTCTATCAAACATTTAGAGAAGAAAAAATATAGATTTTACTAAAGCTGCTCTGAAAGATAGAAAGGGATAAAATACTTCCAAAATCTTTTTATGAAGCCAGCATCACCTTAATTCCAAAACTGGACAAAGACCCACCAAAAGGGAGAATTATAGACCAATATCCTTGATGAACACAGATGCAAAAATTCTCACCAGGATACTAACCATAGATTCAAACAGCACATTAAGATTATTCACCATGACCAAGTGGGATTTATCCCTGGGATGCAAGGCTGGTTCAATACTCGTAAAGCAACCAATATGATAGATCATATCAACAAGAGAACAAACAAGGACTATATATCCTCTCAATAGATGCAGAGAAAGGCTTTGACAAAATACAGCATCCATTCCTCATCAAAACTCTCCAGCATGTAGGGATAGAGGGAGCATTCCTCAGCACCTTAAAAGCCATCTATGAAAAGCCCACAGCAAATACCATTCTCAATGGGGAAACACTGGGAGCCTTTCCCCTAAGATCAGGAACAAGACAGGGATGTCCACTCTCACCACTGCTATTCAACATAGTATTAGAAGTCCTAGCCTCAGCCATCAGGCAACAAGAAGAAATGAAAGGCATTCAAATTGGCAAAGAGGAATTCAAATTCTCCCTCTTCACAGATGACATAATACTGTACATAGAAAACCCAAAAGACTCCACCCAAGCTTGCTAGAACTCATACAGCAATTTGGCAGTGTGGCAGGATACAAAATCAATGCCCAGAAGTCAGTGGCATTCCTATACACTAACAATGAGACTGAAGAAAGAGAAATTAAGGAGTCAATCCCATTTACAAATCACCCAAAAGCATAAGATCCCTAGGAAAAAACCTAACCAAAGAGGTAAAATATATACCCTAAAAACTACAGAACACTTCTGAAAGAAATTGAGGAAGACACAAAGAGATGGAAAAATATTCCATGCTCATGGATTGGCAGAATTAATATTGTGAAAATGTCAATGTTACCCAGGGCAATGTACACATTTAATGCAATCCCTTTCAAAATACCACAGACTTTCTTCAAAGAGTTGGAACAAATTATTTTAAGATTTGTGTGGAATCAGAAAAGACCCCAAATAGCCAGGGGAATATTAAAAAAGAAAACCATAGCTGGGGGCATCACAATGCCAGATTTCAGGTTGTACTACAAAGCTGTGGTCATCAAGACAGTGTGGTACTGGCACAAAAACAGACACATAGATCAATGGAACAGAACAGAGAATCCAGAAGTGGACCCTGAACTTTATGGTCAACTAATATTCGACAAAGCAGGAAAGACTATCCACTGGAAATAGGACAGTCTCTTCAATAAATGGTGCTGGGAAAATTGGGCATCCACATGCAGAAGAATGAAATTGAACCATTCTCTTACACCATGCACAAAGACAAACTCAAAATGGAGGAAAGATCTAAATGTGAGAGGAGAATCCATCAAAATCCTAGAGGAGAACACAAGCAACACCCTTTTTGAATTTGGCCACAGCAACTTCTTGCAAGATACATCCATGAAGGCAAGGGAAGCCATAGCAAAAATGAATTATTAGGACCTAATCAAGATAAGAAGCTTCTGCACAGCAAAAGAAACAGTCAACAAAACTGAAAATAACCTACAGAATGGGAGAAGATATTTGCAAATGACATATCAGATAAAGGGCTATTTTCCAAGATCTATAAAGAACTTATTAAACTCAACAGCAAAGAAACAAACAATCCAATCATGAATAGGCAAAAGACATGAACAGAAACTTCACCAAAGAAGACATACACACGGTCAAAAAGCACATGAAAATATGCTCTGCATCACTTGCCATCAGGGAAATACAAATCAAAACCACAATGAGATACCACCTCACACCAGTGAGAATGGGGAAAATTAACAAGGCAGGAAACAACAAATGTCAGAGAGTCTGCGGAGAAAGGGGAACCCTCTTGCACTATTGGTGGGAATATGAACTGGTGCAGCCACTCTGGAAAACTGTGTGGAGGTTCCTCAAAGAGTTAAACA